GGCTGGACCCTGGAGGCGGCTGTGGACGTGGGGGTGGTGGTGGTGACCACCTGGATGGAGGGGGTAGTGGTTTGGGACTCGAGGGCGATCAACCGGCTTGAGATGCCAGTGACGGAAGTGGAGAGTGTCCGACGGGAGTACTGTATGGACCGAAGGATGGAGAGGAGGGATGGGGCGGGGGTGTTTTCCCCGATGGCTTGTTGGCCAACGAGTTCGTGGTGGATATCCGCGACGGAGTCGTCGCAGAGAGAGCTCATGTTGAGGCTTGAAGCACCTTCGACCATTGGAGAGGACGAAGGCGAGGTGGCGGAGGAAGATGGAGCAGTGGAGGTGGTAGCAGCGGATGTGATAGCGGCACCGGTGGCGGCGGCAGCGGCGGCGCGTTGGGAGGTCTTGGTTTGGCGTGGTGGCATGTGGAGAAGGGGGGGACAATTCCTATTTACAAGAGTAGAGCGTCATAAAGTGATTTAGCAATGAAGGTAGCAGAGAATCGCAGAGCAAGAATTAATTTTTAATAAATTAATTTAAATTTATTCGAAATTAATTGAGAATGTATTTTTCAATAAAATATGAAAGCGGAATTTTTAGGAATTTCCAAATGAAAAGAAATAATTAATTCCGAGAAAAAAAAGGTTAATTTAGTCGTGAATTAATTCGAATAAAAAGATTTCTGAATTATAAAAATTCCGAAGAATAATTAGTCAGAATTATTTTCGAAGTTCGTAGTTTCTAGCAGGCGGTGATCCCCTCCAATAGATGAAGCCTTCAATAACCGGGACCTGTTTAAGGGGAGGGATGCTCTAATCACCCCGTTAAACAGTTCCCCCCTGGTGGTACGACTCTCCTGGTGGCAGCGGCTCATATGACAGGCCATCTTCTTGTCCCTTTCCACAACCGAAAACTTCTGCTCTCCGCTGCTCCATCCTTGAGCGTGCAGCAGTTTTCGGTTATGGAAAGGGACAAGAAGATGGCCTGTCATATGAGCCGTTGCCACCAGGAGAGTCGTACCACCAGGAGGACCTGTTTAACGGGGTGATAAGAGCATCCCCCCCTTAAACAGGTCCCGGTTATTGAAGGCTCCATCTATTGGAGGGGATCAATGCCTGCTGGAAACTGGGTCCAGCATCCCCGCACAATTCGCGAGAGAGTTCGCAAACACATGTGTGTTGTGCCTTGTCTGGCCGTGTATTCTATCTGAGCTGTGTGGGACCCTAGACCCCCTTTCCAGCAGGTGCGGCTCCCCAACAATAGACTGGAGCATCCAGGATGACCGCTAGGGGGGGGTGCTCGTATCACCCTCCCTAGCGGCAAGACTGGTTTAAAAAAAAAAAAAAAAAAGGGTGTGTAGTAAGTATGATCTCCACTCTATGAATTGGTGGCAGGCTTGGTTTAAATGACCTTAAATTTGGGTTTTGTTACAAATGGCATGTCATTGAGCAGTTGTCTGAAAATTGAGGCCTCGGTTAACCGGCTTTCTCATAAAGCACTAGTACCTTTGCCGGTTCGGAAAATAGTGGGCCTCAGACCTTTCAGGAGGCCCAAATGAANGTGTCTGAGAACTGCTGTAGAGCTGTTGCATGATGAGAGATTGGATCTCCCCAAGCCCCTGATCTACTCTATGACACCCCTAGCTAGGACCTGGTACCCCGCCCCCCGGCATTGTAGGTAACTGTGTGTACGGCCATAGCTGACTGGGTCTAAATTGTTGAGTCGGTAGCAATTGCGTATTGATGCTTCGCTTCTGCTCTCCATTGGTCAATCGTTGAGCATGCCTTTTCGGTGGTGGAAAGGATAAGAAGACGGCGTGTCAGAAGAGCCGCTGCCACCAGGAGAGCCGCACACATGGCAAACATCGAGCCAATTGGGAAAACGCTCACGTTGAAAAGCACAATGCACACGAACATATTCAGCGGGATGCGGAAGAAGTTCATAATCGTGGACCGCGATTCCTCGGGGACGTAATCGCTGCGCATCTTCATCATCGACGGCCAGAAGATCCCCACACACACTTCGAAGATCAGAAAACCAGCCATCTGAATCCTGCCACCAGGGCTAATGCCCTCAGCGGCCGCAACATTGTTGCGGTGCTCGTCAAAGTACCCTGCGTAAGCAGGGAGCAGAAGCGATGCCGATGCCACAAGGAAGACAAACTGCATGTACCTTTCGACTCTAAGGAAAGGCCTTGCAAGTAGCCTGGAGGCAACGGAGCTACCAATCATTGAGGCAAGCATGAAGGTCGCAAATACAAAGCCGTGGGGTATTTCGAATCCGAACTTTGTCTCGGACGCCAGAGCTGGTGTCCACAGAAAGATGAAAGTGTACATGGAGCTTTCAAAAAGCGATTGAATCGCGCCGAGGAGTGCAATCTTCTCGTCTGCCGCAATGAGCTTGGCTGCCGTAGCGAACTGCAGAATCAAGTTCTTTCCTTCTGAAGAGTCGCCGTAGTTTTCGGTCCACGTAAAAGCAATGATCATCATCCCGATCACCAGAACGCACACTGCCGCATCGAATGGCGCAACGGGTCCCAAGCCCGCGTCGACAACCAGTGTATTTGCCAGAAGTCCAGAGCATATCGCAACGACTCCATTCCCAAGAAATATAGCCTTCGAAAAGCTCACTGACATCCAATTCGCATCGAATCCTTGCCTTATGTGCTCTGAAACAAGCCACGATTCAAAGGCTGTGAACAACAGTGATGTGGAGATACCCCCCAACACTCTGCCTAATAGCAACCAACCATATTTCGATGAATGTTTGGTGAAGCAACTAAGAATGTATGTTATGCAATACGTAATGCTGGCAGCCTTCCGGCCATGTCTATCGGCGAGGGAACCCACAATTGTGCCAAAGACCATGGAAGACCCAAAGCCTGCAATGAACAGACGCCCGATATCTCCCCGATCATAGTTATAATACTGGTAGAGAGCATAGACATATGGACCTTGAAGCCAATCCCCTGCCATCATCAGGCAGTACACAAATATATAATTGTTTTTGAAAGAATTGAAAGCACTTGAGGTAGCAATCTTATCCTCAGGAGTCTTTGTCGTCTCAAGGAAAATGCAGATCACAGACAGTACTCCGAACACCGAATAGAAGTAGGTCAGCCCCATCTTCACTCAGCCCCTCTCTTTTTACCTTTGGCAATTCTCTCTCTCTCTCTCTCTCTCTCTCTCTCTCTCTCTCTCTCTCTCTCTCGTCTCCCGCCGCTTTTGCGTCCGCCCAACCTCAATTTCCCTTTTCCCTTCCCTAATTGCAGAACCTAACTTTCTAGATCCCTGATTACACTGATTACACTGATTACGAAAGAAAAAAAGATCCCTGGTTAGGGTTGTGCTCCACGGACTCACTTCGAGAGAATCTTCCTCGTAGGAGTCCAGCCACCACCACAGCCAAACTGAGAATTGCGTCTTCCTGACACCAGTGGGGCTTGCCTTTGGGCAAACAAACAAACAAAAAAAAGCCACCACCACAGCCAAACGGAGAATTGCTTCTTCCCGACACCAGTGGCGCTTGCCTTTGGGCAAAAACAAAAAAAGAGGACGTGTCAAACCCAGTGGGATATTGTCCTAAAACCACCTGTTGTTTTGAAAATAAAAACGGAAAGGAGACCCATCTCTTTCCCCGCCGATTCTTCCCAGCCCGCTCCCTTGGCTGTGGTTTCACAGAATGGTAGATAGGGACAAGCATATCTTTCTTCCAGTATCAGATGAAGAAGTGCCCACTGTATACCATGAGATCCCATATAGCCCCTGAGATGACGGGGGGGGCTGGAGCGGCAACGTTTTCTAAACAGTTCAAACTTCGTCTGCAGCTGTGGACGCCCACAAATTTTTACACACAAGACGCGGGCTAGGGAAATCTCCAACTGAAATCTGTGGAGCACAATCCCCCCTTGACTAAACTACTACTAATTCGACAAACCGCTACGTTGATGACATCGAGTCTATGCAGTACATCACGGGCACCTGGGACGCGGGCCTGGCACCTCCAATTCTGGAAGCGCGAAATCAAAATGCGACCGCCCAGCCCAGCGTTTGACGTGTCGGCCTCGTTTTCTTCTGGCGACAAGTTTCGGACAAACTGCAAGGCTGGGGCTGTATGCTAGTGGTTTAAGATCCAGCCAGTATAATCACGGCAACACAGCCCCGGACAACAAGCAAGGGAACCGATTAAGTGTTGGTAATCCCATATGACCTGCTGCTCACTTGTTTACAGAAAGTCCATCCATTCAAAGGTCCACAGATCCATCAACCTCCTGTGCACATCAATCAGGGCCTTCACATCTACCCAGCACTATCAGGGCAATACAGTCTCAGGCAACAAGCAATGCCGCCAATCCGATTGGCTCTGCGAGGTTGGTGGATATCATGACCAGTATGGTTCCACTCTTAACACCATGTCCTGGCTGTAGTGGTTAAGATACTAAGCTCTTGAGGCCAAGGTCGCCGGTTCAAATCCATGCTTGCATGGAGGAGGGCTTTGGCCTAGATGTGGGGATCGATGAACTGCTCAGGCAACAAGCAATGCCGCCAATTCGATTGGCTCTACGAGGTTTGTGGATATCATGCCCAGTACGATTCCCCATCTCACACCGTGTCCCGGGTGTAGTGGTTAAGATACTTGGCTCTGTAGGCCGAGGTTCAAATCCGTGCTTGCACGGACGAAGACTTAGGCCTAGATGTGCGGATCCATGAATGGCTCAGGCAACAAGCAAGGCCGCCCATTCGATTGGCTCTACGAGGTTGGAAGTTGCTTCCCAACAGCAAGAAGAAGTAAAAGCGCACGTTATTTCACTTTTTAAGTTTTTACCCCTGTTGCACGCTGCGTGCAATTTCGTGCACGTCCCTTCCCCACAGCTCACACCACGTCATTGGAATTCCGGAGGGACCACACACACACACATGCATTCTGTGCAATGTGGCCGGCAACCCAATGCACTTGCCGCCTCCACCCACCGCCTTCTCCCATACGCGATCGGGAGATCGATTACATTTGGCGCCTCTGTCCACGGCAATCGAAGATTGCGTTCTTCCTTGTTCAGCTTCCTATGAATAGAACGGGATCCAGACAAGGTCCTTCACTCATCGCACAACTTCATATGAGCCTGAATGCAACAACGGCGTGGGAAAAAAAAAAAAAAAACAGAAAACAGCCACCACATGAATCCACAGTCAGTAACGCAAGGGCAAATATAATCCAAAAATATACAAAGGGGATTTTTTTGACAGCACATGCAGAAAGGCATGAACAACAGTTACTTCAGAAGCTATACTAATCCGAGCCTGAGCCATTCCGGCTCCACATTTGGTTCTTCGATACCCTCTCAAATATAAATAATTATCTTTGTCCTTTCTTTTTTAAAAGGGCCTTTACGATTTAGACCCCAGATGAGTACCCCAACAGCTAGGGGCTCTGTCGACCAGAACTTAAATTCACGAGCAGCAACTCAAAAGACAAAGTTCCTGAGGTAAATGTCGCATCCATAATAAAGTGAAAAGTCATTTTGAAAGGTCACAAACAGGTCCTGAACGAACAGGTATTGGACACAATTTTCAAGACTGAGTTAGGGTCATGTCTCCTTGATGAAAAGACATGTCTGTTCGGCAATGAGTCAAAGGCTACAGTCCCAGTCCAGTCATAATCCCATGAGTCAGTCCTGATTCAGACCAGGAGTCCAAAAGACAGGCCCGATGGCCCAAAGCAGCAGCAGACCATGGGAAAAGATACTGGGACACACACTTCGCAACAACGGGTACTCGGCAGGAGTCCCAGACACTTGAGGCTGAATGCAGGCCACGCCAGGCCAGTCCAGCACCATAAAGGACTGCCCAGCCTCCCATTTGGACAGATGCTCACTTCGCATGAGAGTGTGGAAGTGCTGTGGCACTTGTGCGCTAGATGTGGGTGAGCTGCGCTAGGCTGAAGAGCAGCGCTATGTGGGAAGGAAGAGAGTGCTGGCTAGAGGGAAGGCAGCCATAGCTGCGCCAGCGCTAGTTAGTATGTTAGTAGGGATAGTCAGTAGGAGGTCCCACTGAGTAGTATTCAGAGTAGATCCTCATGTGATAGGGAGTGTGCATGCATGATGAGTGAGGGTAGACCAGGACTATATACATAGAGGGAGAGAGAGAAGGCGGCAGACGAGAGAGGGGGAAGTGTGAGCTATGGTGACACTTACCTGTTGAGCGCTGTTGTTGGCATTTGGCAGCTGGCGCTATGAGCGCCAGGCTTGGAACTCATGTTGATCGAAGAAGACTTGTAACTCTGTTCAGCGCTATACACTTTGAACTCACGATGTTCTCTCTCTAAATCTGGGTTTGATAATTGAGTTGAGCTTCCTGGCTCTCATTCATATTCTATTGGGTTTTGTGTGAGACTTCGCAATCTGTGAAATCAGTGTGTATGCATGTGATCTGATGCACTCCAGCAAGTGATGAACAGTCGGGTTACTTGCATTTTAATCACGACTACCTCCGATCCTGTTTTTGCCAAGCCTGAATTTCACTGCCCTCCGAGCTTTGCCGAGCCTGGGTCCCACTCCATTTTCTTTTCCCGTACTCTCACGGAAAGAACAACAAAAGAAGAAGAAGAAGAAAAGTCGATGCCATGAAACTCACAAAAAAGAAGGGGGGAAGGGGGAGGGAAAGAAACAAAGCTTTGGCCAAGAAATGCAGTAGTATACATTCTTGGAAGTCGTAGTCTGAGTGTGCCCTCAGTGAGGGCGGCTCAGCCCCGTGGCCAGAGTGTGAGATTCAAGAAATACAAAGAAAGGGAAAAAAAAAACAAAAGGGAACGCAGATCTGGCCATGATATTGGCTGGATACATTCCTCTGAGTGCCAGTGTGATCACGGTTGCACTCCTCTAAGGAAACACAGCTTGAGCAAATCACGGACTACGCCCTGCCTCGCTGACTGGCAGGGGATTTGTAAGAGTAAGAAAAGAAAGAAAAAAACTGAAAGCAACAGCATGCACACAATCTGACCCTTTCTTGGAGCAAGATTCATTCTGTGGAGGACTACTGTGAGCATGGCCTCCTACATTACCCTGCCCGACATCATTGCAGCAGAGAAAGTATCTTTCGTTTTATTGTCATTATAGTATTATTACAGTGAGCCCCGTAGCAGCCACATCCGTGCTCAAGCCTCCAACGAGGGAGCATGTGGGAGCTGCACCCACCAGCAGGTGCGGTCCCTGCTACAGCAGGTGGGCGATACCGGCCAGGGGTCAGCTGGTAGCATCAGGACCGAGCTTCTTCGATGGGCCAGTCCCTGTCCCTCCCCTCCGGTTCCCTCCCCCTACGAAAATCAGCAGTCTCAAAGAATTAGCCTTTAGCCTTGAAAAAAAAGAAAAAAAAAACACCCGGTGACCTGGCCTTCGTCCGGAAGGGCTCCCCGGCGGCCCGGCCGGTTGGGTCACCCGGTTGGGCGCCGGGCGGGCCCAGCGCAATTTCGCGCGCGGGGGGGAGGGAGGCCTTTTTCGGCCAGTGGTGGCCTCCCCAGCCGCCTAGTGCTTGATTTTAATTTTTTCACAGACTTTCAGGCACTTTCTAACTTTCTAGGCTGGAGGGCTACGATCCCGCATTCAAATTCGAACGGGGGATTGTCCTCCCCGCCGACGAAGTTTGAAACCCCGTCGTCGTCATCGAGCTGCCCGTCGCCATTGACCTGCCCCTGGCACGTCGTCATCGAGTTGCCCCTGCCCCGTCGTCATCCAGGTGCCCTCCGCGCATAGCCGACCTCCTCCTCACGCGGAGTGAGCATCACACTGCCCGTTGTCGAGCTGTCACAACGTCGTCGACCTGCCCATCGCCGAGGTGCCAAACTCCTCCTCCTCCTCGCGCGGAGCTCGCATCGCGCCGCCCGTCGTCGACCTGCCACGTCGTCGTCGATCTACCCATGGTCGAGCTGCCGACCTCCTCCTCGCGCGCAGCTGACCACCTCCTCCTCCTCTCATCTTCTTCTTCTTCTCTCCTCCTCCTCCTCCTCTCGTCTTCTTCTTCTTCTTCTCTCTTTCTCCTCCTCTCGTCTTCTTCTTCTTCTCTCCTCCTCCTACTACTCATTTTGTCTTCTCCTTTTCTCCCCTCCTCCTCATTTCGTCTTCTTCTTTTCTCTCCTCCTCCTCCTCCTCCTCCTCCTCCTCCTCTCGTCTTCGTCTTCGTCTTCTTCTCTCCTCCTCCTCCTCCATCGGCCTTTTTTTTTTTTTCCCTCGTCATTGCCAGACAACCGGCAGCTCCTCCTCCTCCTCCCCCTCTGGTCTTCTTCTCCTCCTCTCCCCCTCTCCTCCTCTCCTCCTCTTCCTCCTCCTCTTCCTCCTCATTCCGTCTTCTCCTCTCTCTTCCTCCTCTCGTCTTCTTCTTCTTCTCTCCTCCTCCTCCCACTCTGGTCTTCTTCTCCTCCTCTCCTCCTCTCCTCCTCCGCCTCCTCTTCCTCCTCATTTCGTCTTCTCCTCTCTCCTCCTCCTCTCGTCTTCTTCTTCTTCTCTCCTCCTCCTCCTCCTCCTCCTCCTCCTCCTCCTCTCATCTTCTTCTTCTTCACTCCTCCTCCTCCTCCTCATTTCATCTTCGTCTTTTCTCTCTTCCTCCTCTTCCTTTCATCTTCTTGTTTTCTCTCCTCCTCCTCCTCCTCCATCGGCCTTTTCTTTTGTTTTTTCCTCGTCATTGTCAGACACAACCGGCAGCTCGTCCTCCCCTCCCCCTCTGGTCTTCTTCTCCTCCTCTCCTCCTCTTCCTCCTCATTCCGTCTTCTCCTCTCTCCCCCTCCTCTCATCTTCTTCTTCTTCTCTCCTCCTCCTCCTCCTCCTCCTCCTCCTCCTCCTCCTCCTCCTC